TTATTGGAATAGGAACTAATTATAATATATGTAAATCAATTACTATGCTGGCAAAAATAAAAGAAACGCGCTTAAGATTTAAATTGGCCAATCACGCTATGACACATCTTCATCTTCTTCACAAATCCTGGTTCAATTACCTGTGGATTTTTATCCGCAGAAAGTTTCATAGGACGTTTCAAAAATTATCTCCAGGCCATGAAAACGCTATCCAAGATCACAGACATGTTCGTCTCTGCCTCCTCATCATCCCTGTAACCACCATTCACCTTGATTTTTCCTATATAAAAAACGCCTAAAACACAAGAACATGAACCCTAGGTTCGAGCATCATGATACAGGGTCCAATAATGAAATTGAATAATGCAAAAATGTTCTAAATCAAATAACAAGCATGAATATGCTAATATTTTGAAGAAAACGGGCAAGAACTGGAGGTTTGGATTCCATGTTCAGAGGTCAGTTCGCGATGACTTACAGTGTGATATAGGTGATGAAAAGGCTTCCTTTTGATTGGTATAGCACCACTGGATGTCAAGGAAGAGAGCTGTGTTGTTCATTTGGCCTGAATCTGCCTCCAATGTGGTTTTTGATCTCACACTTTTTCAAGGTTTTTTGCAAAGTGGTGTGGCCATTTCTGCAGAGTTCTATGCGTGAATTTGATTTGTGAGGCTTGCTTGCATATAATGTAATGATTCTAGGTTAAAACATGGGCCAATATCTTTGTGTATTAAAGAATCAAGATTGCACTTTGATCACCATTAACATGTTTCCAAATATGGGCAAGATCTGATTTTTTATGCTTGAATGAGCCTTGGCACGAGTTGGTTGGTTGTCACATGATATTTGCAAGCTGTACAAATCACAAAGATACCATTTCAATAATTTTTGGATTTTATTTGAATTAATATAGATTTAAAATGAATTAAATCAATAAAAATTAAATAAAATAGAAAAATAAGTGTTTGGTTATTAAATTAAAGATGGGACACGTGTGTGGCATGCCAAGACTAAATCAAGTGGAAAAAAGTGGGCCCTTTTGTCAAAAATTGGAGTTTTGAGGATAGTTGACTTTTGGCAATTTTGGAAAAATACCCAACTTCAACAATGCATAACTTCTTCAATTTTGAACTTTTGGAGGTGTTCTTGGACTTTTTAGAAACCTTGAGATGTCCTCTAATCAACCCTTTTGTTTTCACTTCATTTTGATGTTCCATTCTCAAGTTATAAGCTTTGGAAAAAAGGTGTTTTTGTTGACTTTCAAAAATGACCTATAATGTCCAAATTTGTAACTTTTTGTGAGAGAATTTCTTGATCTTGGGGTATGAATATGGATTGTAGGAGATTGAATCCTATTCAAAATTAGCTTTGGATAGGTCATTTCTCATAAAGTATGAGAAAGTTATGCTTGGTCAAAGTTGAGTTGACTTTTCCTATAAAACCCTAATTTAGCAACTTTTGAATCTTGATGAATCTTGAGCAATCCTTGATGAATCATGATCAAACCTTGATCAAATGATGAATTATCCTTAAAAATGAGAATGTTGACAAAAAATATTGAGGTTTGACTATTTGTAGGTCACAGTTGACTTTTGCCCTAGCACAGTCGATTTTTGGGCCTCTTGAGCAATTGACTGACCAAACTTCTTCTGCAAGGCTTGAAATTTGACATGGATGAACTTAAGAACATATTAGGACATTGGGAAGTACTTAAGGTCATTTGGATGTAAGGACCTTGATGCAACACCAAACCCTAATTTTGAATTTGACTGCCTTAGGAGGTGATTTGACTGTCCAACTTTTGAGCTAACTTGAGCCACTTGGAGATTATTCTTGACATATGTTGAGGAATATGGGAGGGCAAATTTTGGGGTACAACACGAACAAAGAGGCTTCTGTTCATTTTGAATTTCCAATTATAATTTCTTTTGTTATTCAAACAATTATCTATTAATATCAAACTCTGTTTCGTTAATGCATTGCATATGTTTGTCTTGAATTCATATTTTCGTTTTCACTATTTTTAAACTATGTTTTTCTATTCTTATTATGACACATACCTTTAGAGGGAGGACGAAGAAAACACTTCCATAATCTCATACAGTATGCTTTTGGACATACCTTGCTGACGATGTACAGGCGTTTCTTTCAAATCCTAAACACTGGAGTTATAAGGAAGATAATCCCTAGGCAACCCCTTCGAGCCAAAGAAGTAGAAGTTTTCTGTTTTAACACAAGTTGAAACCTTTAGTCAAAACCTGGGGCAGGGTAGTCTCTAAGTTAATTCAAACGCACGTTAAAGTCGCAAACTCTCATCTTGTAATACAATGAATGACATCAAAAACATTCCTTTGGAATCAAAAGACGGTGATGGTTCCCTATCACATAGACAGTCATTATCTCTCGAAAAGAAAAGTCCACTAAGTCAAAACCTACAAAGGAGGCTTAAGAAAACTGGGGCATCCTGCTGACTGTAATCTCAAAAATAGGAACAGTCAGACAAAAATTAGGGATAATAAATCGAAAGAAAGAGGTCACTACAAATCCTCAACAAAAATAATGTTGCAAAAATGACCGCCTTCCAACGAATTTAACTTGTTTAAACCATCACTAAAATGTCATTCCAGACTCATTTGGAGTTTAAACGCACAATTAACTGAGTTTAGGACTGAAGAACATCACGAAGAGTGGGTGGGTACAAATATACTTTGAGCCTTTATCTTTTGTTTCTTAAACCGTGAACCAATCCACGTTATAACCCTTCAACAGTCCTAATTGAAGCATGGGTTGGTTCGAAAGCATACTGTTACAAAAGGTATCCTGACTCTTGTAAGGCTTTGCTCTAAATCTTGAGTTGAATTTTTCTTACAAAAGTTTTCTGCTAAAAAAACGCATTTTCAAAATTTCAAAACGCATATGGCTATTTGTTTGACGGTGAAGAAATTCACACAATGAATATCCAATGAACGAAAAGCTCTCTCAGTGAACAGAGTCACTTCAAGCGGGATGACACTTCCGCTGCAAAAAATCTCATATCAACAAGAGGACATGATATGTCATTGTCCAGCACAACTGGAGCAGTCCAGTAAAGATTTCAAGAAATCTCTCAAAGTGCAGAGTAACTAGGGGCAAGTATCCGTCCCCGTCACTTGGGGCATTGAACGTCAATCCCAACAAAGGGTTGCATACAACCAAACATTTCCTGGCAAAGCCATAAACACTCGCTACTAGGGGTAGTGACAAATCTCCCCAAAATCCTTCTCATAAGAGGATTCCCAGCTAGAGTTTCAATATTTAATAACCTCTTCCCAGCTAAGTCGACCTCAAGAATCCGTGAGGATTTTTCCCATTGAAGTCGCCAGAATTCAACTCTTTTGTCCAGTATCAATTCAGGATTTATTTACACTAGCGAGAGATCATCTTGAAAACATTACGTACATCAGGACATCATATAACGCAATCTCATTTATTTTGAGAACATCATTGCTTGGTATATGTCATGCAACTAACCTTTACCTTTCAGGAAAGATGCAATCAAATTCTCACAAAATTCAAGCTATGAAGCCTGGACCACGACCAGATAGTAGTTCATTCAACTTTCCTCTTCAACAGAGAGGATTCCTCAACAGAATAATGGACGATCAGAGTTCCCAAAATTCAACAAAGATGATTCCTCAGAAGAATAAAGGACGACCAAAGTTCCCAAAATTCCACATAGATGGTACCCCAGTAGAATAACGGACAATTGAAGCTCCTAAAATTATATTTCTCTCAAGACAAAAATCAACATTTCCCAGCGGAATCCTCCTCAAACAACGAAACAGGAATCCCCATTGGAAACATCATGAGCAAAGTTTAAATACACACATACTCTTCAACAACAGTCCAGGATTTATTTTCCCCGACATCTGTTGAAGATATTCCAAGACTTTCATCTGGCTCAGTTAAATCGATTCTAAGATTTTTCTGATTCTTATCCAGTCAAAGTTAATTCAAGACCTTCTCTGGTTCAGTCAGATCAACACTAAGATCTCCCTGATTCTTATTCCAATTGAAGATATTCCATATTTTTACTGTTTCAGATAAATCTCTCAACGGTTTATTCTGATTCACTTCCAGATTTTGCTATTTCATATAAATCTCCCAACGGTTTATTCTGATTCGTCTCCAGATATTTACTAATTCAGATAAAATCTCTCAACAGATAAATCTCTCAACAATTTATTCTGATTCATTCTCTGTTCAGATCCAGTCCAAACTTTCCGTCAACAATCACCTTTGGATGGCTTCTATAAGCCCATCTATGAAGATTCTCCTCTGTTTCTCCAAATGGCATCTTTTCCATACACAATCTCTACATCACGTCATTAAGATCCCCAGCGGAGATGAGACTACCAACTACCAATCCCCAACAAAGCTCAAACTATCAACCCACAGCGGAAATCATCCGATTTCTCTAATTCCCCAACAAGTTATCTTAAAGCCTGGAAATCAACCAGATAATAGTTAACTTTTACCCCCAACAGAATGAAGATTCTCATTCTTGACTCCCCAGTAGATTGGCATACAACCCAAACTCCTGATATCCCCAACAGAATGAAGATTCTCATTCTTGACTCCCCAGTAGATTGGCATACAACCCAAATTCCTGATATCCCTAACAGAATGAAGATTCTCATTCTTGACTCCCCAGTAGATTGGCATACAACCCAAACTCCTAATATCCCCAACAGAATGAAGATTCTTATTCTTGACTTGAAAAAGTTATGAATTTAAAATCTGCTTTGAAAATTGATAAAAATAGGTCAAAACACTTGCAATGTAATGATGCAGATGGGAGATGGTATCTTAGGTCAAAATTTGGGGTACAACACTGTGCACCTCTCAATTCACCATTATCTTCTTCGTTACAATGGCTTCGTCCTCCGTCTTAAATCGTGACTCACATATTCGTTCAATGATCCAAATCTTCGCGGTGATTCTGACCTCACCGCTTATCGTCACTCTCTCAAACTCTCAACTCGCTCACTACCAGGTCGATGGAGGAGCTTCAACTGACCTTGATCGGAACTCTCAGTCGAAGGTTTATCGACTCCGACGATGATATAATGTAAAACAGCCATAAAGTAGGAAGAATTCGAAGAACATAACGTCTCAATCAAAAGGTTCAGAGAACTCACCAACCAGAGTTTGTCCAATGTGATTTCCGCGATGGTGATGACAAGAAAAAGATCAAGTACACGTTCTTGTCTCAATTCAGTTTCTCCCATTAGTTCTTCTTCCTCTTCTTCTTAGTGTTCTTTCAATTTTCTGTTGTGAATCATTATATGATGTTGTTGTTGCTGTATTGCTACGATTATGTCGGAGCTGAATTACGAAATCGTGACAGATGAAGCCACCTTGATAATGAACAAAGATTCACGGTGAAGATGATGTTGATGATTATTGATGATTGTTACAGTGAAAGAAGATGATGTAGAACAACAAAGGTGAAAGTCGTGAGGTAGAATCGAAGATGATGAAGAAATATAAGTGACGGGGTTCCGGGAGATAGCCGAGAGAACTTGAGTTTTTGGTGAGTTTTCTCTGATTGTAGTTCTCTGTGTCTCTGTAAATAATCATCTGTGAGAAAAATAACTGTCCATCCTCTATAGAATGAAGAATTTGTTATATGGTTTTTCTGAGAAAAGTTCGTTAGCGATATCTGTTAGGTCTGTTAGTAGTTAGTTTAGAAGTTTAGGAATTCTTCTATTTAGTTGGGAGTGAGGTGGTTAGTTTCTGCTAGGGAAAACAGTTAGGAAGGTTGGTTGATTCCTATTAGACGCGGTTATGGGTTATGGTTAGATACCAACGTCAATTAGTTTTCTGTTAGAAATTGGAGTTTGGTTAACTGTTATGAAGTTCCGTTAGAGAGAAGGTTAAGGAATTCTAAGTTCTGTTAGAAAATGAATGGTGAGGATGAGAGATTAGAATCTTAGTTTTGGATATGCTTTTCCAAGTTTTTCCCATAATTCTTTTAGCGATTCAGAAGATTGGGAAGTCAGTTAGAAAACAGTAAGGGGGTTGTTAGAGGAAGTTTTAGATTCCGTTTTCTCAACAGAGCGATTTTCTGGACTAGTTTTGTAGTTTATAGGAACTACTTCTGTTTCGTGCAGAGATTGTTTTGAATGGTATTGATGATGTAAGTTTCAATGCAGGTTCTTCCTTATAGTTATGATGCTGGTAGCTTGAAATGAAAAATGAGCGTGAATATGCAGCTGATTTAAAGGCATGAAGTGGATTTGGAGCGAAAGTCGAAACAAAATGAAGGTTGAAACTTGATCATGAAGTTCGGATTTTTGACAGATTATTCCATGTAACTTGTTTCTTTGTAAAGACTCTTTTTTTTTGCAATTTGTGATTTGGTACATGATTATATAATGGAAATGCTTTGTAATATTGTAGTGTAACATGGTGTATGGAAATTTTTTGTAATATGACTTTGAACGTTCAATGATAGTTTCTTCAATGTAACTCTTATCTTCCAAATTGATTTTGAAGTCCCAATATCTTTTCCTCTAATATTTACTTTAAAGTCCTTTGTATGAATTCAAACAGTCGTGGTATGAACCCAAAACATTGGCAAGGTAATCAAAAGTGACTCAACTCTCGAATGAATTCTTGAATAAATATTTGGATGATACTTTGATTAGGATGAAAAGAGTGAATTTGATACACGCCTTGTGATTTAAACTCCAAGAAATCCATCTCAAATGTTTAACAACTTTAATTCACTTTAAATATTAATGGGAAAATTCCAAATCACCTTGAACCCCCAACTTCGACTTCTCAAAATCCAAGCAATTGAAGTAATAAGCATTTAATAAATCCATCCAGCCGCCTTTGTACCATAACTTAATTCAATCCATACAATACTTTGACTTGACAAAAGCAGTGCCTTAAACCAAATGATCTTCAATTAATGAGATGCTAACCCTAATCCCCTTGTTTCTAGAAGTAACTTGAAAAGAGGGCTTAGTATTTTGATGAAAACGTTGTATCTTAATGAAAGAAGAAGTCTTCAATAATCACAAACCGTAATTCCACAAACCAAGGTTGATGAAAGAACTATTTGAAACAAGCTCGTGTGAAGATAAGAGCCTTACAACAGACGAAAACCTTAACTTCAAGATCCTTGATCCCCTTCCAAGTTACTGATTTATGATGCATAATGTGTTAGATAACCTAATCAAAGTTATATACATGCTAGAAGTGCGAGATGCCTAAGCCAGATAAAAGTGAAAGGGTAGGACAAATTTGGGGTATTACAACTGCCCCTATTTAATCATCTTAAACCTGAAAGTATGATTGGCGCTTGCCTTTTGGACGTTCGAGGTAGAAGATGATTAAATACCAATGCCAAAAACTTGTTCTGAGAGAAAGTGTGAGTATTTATTTATTTTTGTGATATCTGTTGGGGAAAGAATTTTTGTTTTTGGTGAGAAGGGTTTATGGATGAACTTGGAAGGTGATTGCTCGTAATGTGATTGCTCGTAATGTGGCAATGGTGCCAAAATGGGGTTTAGAAACCGATATGAAGAGTACTTGAAAACTGACAAGACGAGTGTTTAGAAGTTGACGATGACGAGTATTGGAAGGTAGCATGATGCCAATACAAGGACAGAGAAGACTTGTAACGTGTCGCGTGATGCCAATACAAGGGAGAGATCTAACTTGTAACATAGCGTGATGCCAATACAAGGAAGAGAACATACTTGTAACATAGTATGATGCCAATATAAGGGATAGATCGGACCTGTAATGTAGCGTGATACCAATACAAGGAAAAGACCGGACTTGTAACGTAGTGTGATGCCAATACAAGGAAGAGATCGGACTTGTAACATAGTGTGATGTCAATACAAGGAAGAGATCGAAATTCTAATGTAGCGTGATGCCAATACAAGGAAGAGATCGAACTTGTAACATAGCGTGATGCCAATACAAGGAAAAAATAACACAAGCGAGTGTTTGAATCAATACGGACGAGTATCGAAAGAAGATATGGACAAGTATCAAGGAAATGTTAAACACAGACGAGTGTTTGAATTAATACAAACGAGTATCAAAAGAAGATACAGACGAGTATCAAGGAAAGGTTAAACACGGACGAGTGTTTGAATCAATACAGACGAGTATTGAAAGCAGATACAGACGAGTATCAAGGAAAGGTTAAACACATAGGAGTGTTTGAATCAATACGGACGAATATCGAAAAAAGATATGGATGAGTATCAAGGAAAGGCTAAACATGGATGAGTGTTTGAATCAATATGTACGAGTATCAAAAAAAGATACGAAAGAGTATCAAGGAAAGGTTAAACACAGGCGAGTGTTTGAATCAATACGGATGGGTATTAAAAGCAAATACAGACGATTATCAAGGAAAGGTTAAAAATGGACGAGTGTTTGAATCAACACGGACGAGTATTGAAAGAAGATACAGATGAGTATCAAGGAACGGTTAAACATGGACGAGTGTTTGAATCAATATGGACGGGTATCGAAAGAAGATACAGACGAGTATCAAGGTAAGATCTACGGGAGATCTACCAAAATTACTAGGCCTATGGGAAACCTATAAGGTAATCTAGATCTACGATCGATCTAAGATCTAAAGGTAAGACCTACGGGCGATCTACCAAAATTACTAGGCCTACGGGCGACCTATAAGGAAATCTAGATCTACGGTCGATCTAAGATCCTAAGGTAAGAACTACAGGCGATCTACCAAAATTATAAAGCCTCCGACATACCTATAAGGAAATCTAGATCTACGGTCGATCTAAGATCCTAAGTTAAGACCTACAGGCGATCTACCAAAATTACTAGGCCTACGGGCGACCTATAAGGAAATCTAGAACTATGGTTGACCTAAGATCCTAAGGTAAGACCGGGCGATCTACCAAAATTACTAGGCCTACGGGAGACCTATAAGGAAACCTAGATCTACAGTAAATCTAAGATCCTAAGGTAAGACCTACGTGCGATCTACCAAAATTACTAGGCCTACGGGCGACCTATAAAGAAATCTAGATCTACGGTCGATCTAAGATCCTAAGGTAAGACCTACAAGCGATCTACCAAAATTATTAGGCCTACGGGTGACCTATAAAGAAATCTAGATCTATGATCGATCTAATATCCTAAGGTAAGACCTACGGGCGATATACCAAAATTACTAGGCCTACGGGCGACCTATAAGGAAATCTAAATCTACGGTCGATCTAAGATCCTAAGGTAAGACCTACGGGCGATCTACCAAAATTACTAGGCCTACGAGCGAACTATAATTCTAAGAAGGTGGGAGTATTGGTCACAACATGATGATTGAAGATGCGAGAATGACCAAGTGCATTGCATTTGTTTGGGATTCGAAGGACAGATAGACACATACGAGCATTTGGAATACTGACATAAATAAGTCTTTTAGTTAAACTAACACAAACGAGTGTTTAGAGAAACTGACACAGACGAGTGTTTGGATAACTAACACAGATGAGTGTTTAGGAAACTGACACAGATGAGTGATTGGAGGATATACGCGTGTTTAGGAAGCTGACACAGATGAGTGTTTGGAAGACTGACACAAACGAGTGTTTGGAGACTGAATCATTTGTCAGACGAGAACTGACGACTAGATGAGAACTGGGTTTAGAATTGATCGTCAGACGAGAATTGTCTACCAGACGAGAACTGGGTTTAGAAATAATCGTCAGACGAGAACTGACTACCAGATGAGAACTAGAGTTTAGAATGACAAGGTGTATTGATTTTGCTAAGAATTTAGGAGTACAAGGTACTGGCACCATTAGCTGGGCATCGTGAAGGTGAAGGTCATCAACTGAAGGATTTGGGAGCGATATCCTTTTGTAGGGATGTACTGTTGTCTTTGAAGGATTCAGGTCTTTTGCATAAGGTACTTGATCTGGCTCATGCTTCGTATGAAAGTTTGAATTTCTTTTTCCGCAAAGACCCATTCTAATGGATCGGCTACGCGCTTTTGAAGATGCAATGTTATGCTGTGATAGCTCTATGCAATTCAAAGAAATAGACTTCATGGAGATAAGCGAAGGCTTGTTGGGAATTGTTACTCATCGCTAGGGATGCAAATACATATTGGTGCTAGAAACCTATAGTACCAAAGATCACTGGGGATATTGATAAGAATTTGCACTGGGGAGCCCATGATACTGAAGATTATTGGTGACTCCGCCGAAGATTGAATTGC